ATATATAAAATAATATAATACAAACTAGAAGAAGAAAAACACTTAAAAATGAATGTATTTGAATGATTACTGATAATTTTAAGCAATATCTTTTTCATATCCAGGCTAATAACAGGACTCTACAGGAGAAGATCCTCCAGGTGAATAACCTTGTAGAAGCATTTGGGAATGCAGGCACTATCATCAATGACAACTCGAGCAGATTTGGAAAATATTTGGAAATGAAATTCACTTGTGGTGGCACTGTAGTAGGAGCTCAGATTTCAGAGTATCTCCTTGAAAAATCCAGAGTTGTCCACCAGGCAGTGTAAGTATAAAAATTATATTTGACCTAAGTTGGGGGTTACAGAGTAGGCCTACAATGCAGGAAATTATCTTGGCTCAAAACACAAACATGAATAAGGTACTGGTTTTTTTTTCTTATAAATGATATATGAATAGCTTATAAATCTGTAAACTAGCTGAAAACTACTCCTGATATTTTTTTTCATTGCCTCCTGGGTTATTTAAACAAATCTCCTAAAAATGCATATGTGATATATAAAGTGTATCAGAATGTGTAAAGAATTAAAAACTTTCTAATAGTTCAGTTATAAATTTCTTTGTGGAATTCTGAAGTATTGTGTTAAGTATATAACTTGAATTTAATTCCTCTGCATTTCCTCTGGTATTGTAGCTTTGTTTGTTTGTTTGTTTGCAAAGTGCTTGTTTTCCATTTTGGAGCATCTAGTAGGATTTGGTTATAAAGGGTTATGGACTAAATGCAGAACAGATACATCTCTGTCATGTATGTATCATAATATAAATTGACAGAAAAATTAAATGGCATTTCCAATTCATTTAAATTATTGACATGTATTTTCTATCCTAATATATACCACATCCAGGTAAAAAATATTTTGGCAACTCTATTTCTGCCATAATAATAGGAAAAACAGAGTTTGAGACAAGGAATGTTGTCACTGATTTAAACTTTTCCCCTTGCTGATCTCTTACTCATTTTCACTCTTTTTGTAGCTCTGCGTGACCTTCTTGCCTGTTGTAGATTTGTGACATGAAGAACATCTAAGTAGCACTTGGAATGTTTCAATAAACAATTTAAAGTTAGAGGCAATTTTACAAAATGGTGGTTTTTTCCTCACTTGAACATATGCACAGAAACTGCTTTTTCAGAATAAAATCAGCTTTTTCCCTAAAATACCACTTTTTTTCATAACTTTTCTTGGCTTTGTTCTGTGGCTTTCAGTTTGTATTTGTATTTAGCGACATGCTGAGACAGGGAGTCAGCAATGCATTTGCATGCCTCAGATGCTCTTTAGGTAGGTGTTTAGATGTCTGAATTCACAAGAAAATGCCACTGACATGTTTAGTGTGAGAGTCACTGCAGGAGGTTAAATTTTGAGACATGTACTTCCAAGGGCACCTGAAGCTGTTTGTGTCGAGCATGTTCTCCTCTTCACTGAGGTCTCTGTGTGGCTGGTCCATACGGTCGCGCCTCGGCAGAGAGCTGGCATTCAGGTACCTGCATTGCAAGGGCAGTCTGTCCTGGCTCTTCTGGGAGAAAATTACTCCCAAACTCACATGGAGAGCTAGGACTGACTTTTTGCAGAAAACCAGTGACTGATTACCCAGAAAATGGGAGACCCAAGTTCCAGACCCGCTTCAAGCCAAGAGATTTCGAACCTAGAGGTTCCTGTACCTTTCCAAGAGAACACACAAACCATCAGAACACAGTGAGATTTCAGAGAGAGTGCAAAGCACGGCTGTGCAACCTAGTGGTTAAAACACTGAGGTGGAAGATCAAGGATCTGCTCCTACTCCTTAAATTGACCTTGTTTTCTACTACTGACTGTCCACTTGTCTGTCCACTGTCCACTTGTGTAATAAAGCTTCTTTCAGAGTCCTCTTGTCAGTTTGCATGAGCCTTGCCTGTTATTAAAATAACATTTAATAATAGCATGTATGTCATCAGTAAATGTAACATAGTTACATTACTAAACCAGTTTGTTGTTTCTGTTGTTTCAGAGGAGAGAAAAATTTCCATATTTTTTATTATATTTATGCTGGTCTGGCGGAAAAGAAAAAACTAGCACATTATAAGCTGCCAGATTATAGACCTCCCAGGTAATGCAGTTTATTCTTACATAAATTGATTACTAAGAAATGCAGCGTTGTTGAATTCTCATTTACATTCTAACTCTGTATCCATCAACTCTTTCAGATATCTGCAAAACGATCATTTCAGAATAGTGCAAGATTTCATGAACAACAGCTTTTATAAGTCTCAGTTTGAATTAATTGAACAGTGCTTCAAAGTCATAGGTTTTACACTGGAGGTGAGTGCTGATAACCCTTTTTTTTTTTGTGAACTTTAATGGCTACTTTAATCAGGAAAAATTTATATAAAGCATTCAAATAATCTCTTGTTACTTTCTTCCTTTAGCAGTAGTGTGTTAAGTTTTTAGGATATTGCATGGTGAATTTACATTACCACATTTAAATTTTTAAGGTTTCAAGGCATTGATAAACTAATACAATCATATTAGTCAACAAGATTTTGAAATCAGTGAACAAAGCACAGCTGAGTAATTGGGGAAAAAAGGCTTTTGCAAATTAAATGCATAGAAAATGATGATGTAACTACTTATTAACCTATAATTTTAGGCCTGTGAATATGAGCCTCATCTCTGTTTTAAGGTGAAGTCCATGGTGAGAGTTCTAAAAATTCATCGAGTTGATCTGAGTTTTGATGAACTTAATGCATTTTCACAACTCCGGGGTAAAGTTGAATGGAGTTTTTACATCCCTTTGGAGTCAATCTCATCACTAAATATTAACCGAACCTATTCTTTCTTTATGTTCTCATATCATTGCTCTGCTGGCCATTAAACCCCTCTCCTCAGGCTATATTTGGTATAATTAAAATAAAAACAGGCCTCTGGATTTATAAAGTAGGATGCAAGGGAAAGGAACCTCATCTTGCACCCTAGTCCTCTCTTCTTAGGAGAAGTGGTGCATCACAGCTGTAGTTTACCACTGATTTTATTTATCACAAATGATAGTAGGAGCACGATCCATATAGTATCTGTGAAATATGGCAATAGTGCTGCAGAATGGATGTATGTTTTAATTTCTTTGTCAAAACTGTATGTTGTAAGGAGCTTTTCACAGAAAATTACTTCAGTTGAATATTTCTGGCCTCCCTCAATGTAAACATTTTAATAGGTAGCACAACAGATCTATTCACCTATTCTGTTCCTCTGTACTCATTTTGCATTAAGTCATAGTAGCAGGGGAGTTCACAGTCTCTTTCTCCTCTGCATGCTTATTCACAACTGCACTTAGTAATATCACACCTGTACTATCACATCCTTTCACACCTGTACTTTCACCTTTCCAGAAACAGCATGGAAGGATATGCACAGTTCGGCACCGACAGCAGTTTTGTTACAGCACCAGAGACCTTGATAAGTCCTAATTTATAAGCAGCCAGTCTGTTTTTGTTCCTGGTTCTTTTGTTCATTTGGATGGATGGAAACAATCATCCTGATCATCCAAAAGAGAAGACCTTCCTTACATATTGAAGATCCAAGCGAGAACTAGGTCACTGGCCATATTGTGCAGTTCTAGCATGGATCTTCACTTGATTAGCTCAGCAAGCCACCATGAGCTGAATCTGTAAAGAATTATCTACCTGTAGAACCCCCACAGTTTCAGAAGCAGGTTGAGTACCATAGGCAATCTAACTGTGGTTACATGTGAGGCCCATCCATGTTAGCCTGTCTTACATTCTCCACAGGGTAAATTAGCCAGCCTGAGGCTGTGTTTGTCTTCTTCCCCCACTGAGGTTCTGATAAGGATACATGTGCAGACACAATTTCTTTTCAGGGAGAAAAAGATACTGTAAGACAATGAGTTCCTTTTCTAAGTTCACTTTTTAGTAATGCAGCCTTAAGCTTTGACATTCAACCCAGTGCACAGAGGATGCAAGCATGTTCCATGTTTTAGTAGCAGAAAACTTTGGACAAAATATCTTCTCCACTCCAGTTAAAACTGAGACCTAAACAAGGCTTTATTTCCTTGAAATTTGTTGTTAACTGACTGGCATGCTTTAATAGTAACTACTGGCAGTACTCCCTGTCTTAAAATCACACTGTTTTATTTCAGGCTTCATGGCAGAATTAATAGGAAAGGACTGCCTGAGGTGAACAATAATCATGCTGTATGAGACAGATCAAGCCAGATTTCAAACACACTGGAAAAGGGCACAGAAATGTCAGAAGCTCTACATACTGTGCAGCATAATGGCAGAAGTTAAGCTATCCATCTTTGCATTTCATCTGTATCCCTAAGCTTAAAATGAAAATGATTGCTTAAAACCTAGATAAACTGTGTGCCAATTATCCTGAGCATAATTTTTTAGAGTGAGCTTATCTAGTTTGTCTTGCTGTCACTGGAATAATTAATTTATTAACTGCTAGGTTAACTTCTGAAAGTGTTGAAAACAAGACCAAGTATTCTAGAGCAATTGAGGATTTTATCTGAGTAAATGATGCCTGATATGGTACCAGCAAACTACTGACTATTAGGGATAAAATGCTGTGCAATTATGAAAAGTCCATCGTTATAAAACACCGATCACATTTACAAACTGCTTCTTATAAAACTACTGTAAAACTTATAAACCTGCTATTTATAAAATACACTACTACCGTGTTCCTCAAAATATATAGTATCACAGATTCCTAGCTTATCTGCTTTACAGGAACACCTCAGCATTTCTGAGTAGAAAATCATCAAGTATACTGATAAATGTTCACAGTTCAGAGGAAAATTCACATTTCATATCTAAGTCAAACCTGCAATGAAAGCATTATTTCATTAATTGCAAATATGATTCTATTTGTCATATATAAGTACTTCAAATGATTTACTGTATATCTCACTTCACTGTCCAGACTCATATTAGCCTTTTGCAAGGCAGAATCCCTCTTCAGAACCTACTAAATCATTTGACATTTAAATGTGTTTGAGTAAAGTCCATACTAAAGTGCTTTGGTGAGTACACAGTTCCTAACTGATATTTTGAAGGGTAAAGTGCTTTGCCAAATCAGAGATGTGAGGTCTCACTCTTCTCCCAGTGAAATTTTTTCTGATGACATCGGTGGGAGCCTTTTTGGAGTACCTTTGTTTCAGTGATCCAAGAAACATAGATGGAGTTTTTTTATATTTTTGTTGATCTAGGTATTACATTTGTAGACATGGTTGTGCCTGCAGACACAGCGAAGGGTGGATATAAATAACTTCTGAATTCTTTCTCTGTAAGAGGATTATGTTCACCACTGTTTTGTGCTTCCCCTACTCCATGGCAATCCTGTCCTGTTGACGAGTCTGGAAGAGAGATTAGGCTATAGTTTGTCTTGTCCTCTTTGGGTGTCTTACACTTGAAAGACTATGCTGAGTACAGAACAGGGAATAACTGCTGAGAACAGTATTCCTAAAAGTAGTGGGCATGTGGCAGACGACAGGAAACAACACACACACACACACACACACGTGCCCACCACACAAACCGAAGTGACAAATCTATCTGGCTATTAAGTATTGCATCTTTTTTAATATACTTTTCAGGAACTTGGAAGTGTGTACAGTGTCCTGGCTGCCATTTTAAATGTGGGTAACATTGAATTTTCTGCAGTGGTATCTGAACATATGATTGACAAGAGCAACATTTCCAATCCAGTAGCCCTTGAGAACTGTGAGTGTTTTTTCTTGATTTAAGATTGCTTTCCTTTAGTGTTTTGATAGCGAATTTCTTCTATTGCAAGAGAGTTATCAACGAAAACTGTATTCACATGGAAATTTTGCAAGAATAATTAAATGCTGAAGATGAATTAATTCCCAGCCCACCTGAATTTAAATGAAAAAAAAAAAATTTCCATGTTACGCACCTTATTTGACTAACCAGTTCACTGGCATTCAGAAAATGTGACTAATACTGCAGATGCCTGAAAAGAAAATCTTTGGAATTTTTCCAAGGTTATTTGAACATTTGATGGAGAACCTCATTAACATATTAAATAGTTTTTTCCCAGTTTCTTTCTCAGATATTCATTACTTGTTCCCCACATGTGCCTGTTGAAATATGGCTCACTAGTTCTTTGGAAGATATACCTTACATTATAGGCTGCCAGGAGGCAGAGGGAAAGGGGCACAGATTATCAAAAGAGTTGCTAGTCTCTCAGTTATTACAGAAGATAATGAAGATAATGAAGTCTTCACACTATCTTCTTACATGTTTTCCTGCCATAGATAGAAAAATATTGTGGAATTGCAAAAGAAGCACCCCTTTTTTGGAGCAAAAGGAGGACAGCAGTGGCTTATATGGATGGACTATAACTGAGAGGGATATTCACACCTCACAACTTACATACTCCTGACATAGTCACCTAGATTACTTAGCATTTCTTTGTAGACAGTTTGGAGAAATAGCCTCCTTGATAAAGCAGTTTAGAACCTAAAGGCCTCTGCTTTGAATCACTTACTCATTGACTGCAGTAGAAGCTAGGAATGTTGGTGACTATATCAGATACTGACACTTGTTTGGCGTGAACACCCTCATTGGTTATAGTTCAAGACTTTGATTTGGCCCTTATTCATAATACAGTGCACTTGCAGCTTTGATTGCAAAAATGCATATTTTTCCTTTGAAAATCTGCCTCTGAGTTATGCCTGTGACCTTCCTTCCTAGGTGCGTCCTTGCTGTGTATTCAGGCAGATGAACTGCAAGAGGCCCTCACCTCTCACTGTGTGGTGACTCGAGGAGAAACAATTATTCGTCCCAACACTGTGGAAAAAGCCGTTGATGTCAGAGATGCCATGGCCAAAGCACTGTACGGGCGCCTCTTTAGCTGGATAGTCAATCGCATCAATACTTTACTCAAACCTGACAAACATTTAAGGTAAAAAAAGCTTTTCCAGAATAAAGAGAGATTTTCTGTGGGAATAATATCATCTACACTACAGCATTTAGTGTTCTCATCTACTTTTTCTCTGCTACCTTTTTGTTTATAACACCACCATGTTAGAAAAAGAAGGTTTTATCCTATTCATAGTATGCAGTGAAAATACAGTAGATATGGATAGCACAGGCATCTGATGTTTTCCTGTTTGACCTTTACTTATTTAACCCTTTTTCAATTACATACTAACTACTTTTTCCTTTATGCTTTGTCAGTGTCAACTTTTGACAATCATTTCTTGATTACATAGGTCAAATTCTGCTCTTATTTGCACTGATGCTGTTGCTCCTGTCACTGTTGTTATGAGCATGGTTTCATACATATGTGAGAGTAGTTTCCAAACACATTTACGGAGGTTAATGTCCACCCTACACTTACCAGGTGACATTTTAAACACAGAGACAAGAAAGATACTGGGAATGAGGATATAACACATTTTGCAAATTAATCAAAGAAGAAATGATGTGGCTTGCATTGTAGATCCTATAGGTCAGGGCCCAGTGAAAAGGGCCAAACTTAGAACTACCTGAAGAGGAATATCAATAATAAATAGCTTCGGTTTGCAAATCTGGATTTTCTGTATTTTTTTTTTTGAAACATCAGAGTAAAGCCAGGACTGCAATCCTAAAATTTGTCTAAACTTTCAAATATTTGGTTAGAGCAGCAATAAACAGAACTTTAATCAGCAAGTGATAGGATAAAATTCATGATAGTTGGGGCAGCACTGCTAGCCTGTGTGCCTCTCTCATGTGCCTGTTACAGAGCCCTTTTCAAATCAAATACTTATTATGCTGGTGAGGAGGGAGAAAGTTCGACCTGAAATGTTCACTATACAAAAAACCTCCCAGAAGTCTGCTTTGGTTTTGTGGTAGTAAAATAATTTGTATTTGCTATTTTTATGTAATTAGCTCTGAGGAGGAACAGGGCAGACAAATTTCAGCAGTCTATTCACCAAAAATGTAATTTCCAGACAGATAAAATAGTCACCAAATTCAGGTCAAAATCAACAAATACTTTTGATCCCTCCACAATGAAACTCTTCCATTTTTGAGATGGACTTCACAAAGAGGTTCAAGTGCTATTCGTGAGTATCTTGAGGCTAGTTCTTCATATCCAATTTCCTAAAATTAAAAAAAAATAATAATTTTGTTACAGATAGCCCCTCAAAGGGATTTTATAGATAGAATGTGATTTATTTTTTTAATTTAGCTAGGAAAAGACACTAAGGTCAACTTCAGTTTGATATTAAATTATATCCGCTGATTTTTTTGTTTTAGCAAATAAATACAAATATTAGAGCTTTTTTCCAGTTGCAGAAACGACCGTGTATCTCTCAGAATGCCTTAGCTAAAATTTCAAACTGAAGTTTTTACTAGTAGTACTTCTCTGGAACTTAATTGGTAATTTAAATTCATACCACACTCCAGCACTTAAAGTAGTTATTTAGATGCATAAAAGGACTAGCTATTAATTCTTTTGACTTTCATGTTAAAATAAGCAGTTTTAATTGTTGTGAATAAAGAATATGAAGAAATAATATTTAATGACAGCAATCTTTAATTTCAAGATGCTGGTGGGTAAAGCCTATTTTATTACAAGAGAAACAAGAAGAACTGCATGTTGTTTCTCTACTGTAGTCAGCTTTTTACAATAGAATGGTAACTAGCAAATATTAGTTCAAAAATAAAATTGTAAATCCTCTATACACTTATCAATTGACTCAGTCATTATGTGATTCAGTGTATCTGCTCTGCAAATACAGTCACCTTTGAATTGATGTGCATTTATTGTATTTCAAACAAAAATTGATTGTTATTTTAAGAGATATCTGGTTTAGCAAAAATTACCCTGTTTAACTGGCATACAGATTTGGCCCATTACTTCCTTTTGTGAAATAATGAAGCTAGTGAGTGTAAAACAAAGATACAATGGTAGAAAGTTTATTTAATCTTTGCAGTGGAAACGATGATGGTTTGAACATTGGAATTCTTGATATCTTTGGCTTTGAGAATTTCAAAAAAAATTCTTTTGAACAACTCTGTATCAACATTGCCAATGAACAAATTCAGTTCTACTTCAATCAACATGTCTTTGCCTGGGAACAGGTATGTGTTGAATATTTTGATAAAGCTTTAATATTGCTGAACATATAAAACCTGTCTCAAGAAACTACATTGTTCCTTCTCCATAATAGGTTGTAAATTGCAGATTATAACAAATGTTTTCTGAGTATGTTTTCTGTGAAGCAGTGCTTGCAATTTGCAAGTAAAATGCCTACATAAAATGCATTAAACTTGAAATTTACAGTATCTAAGCAGCATAACACAGTGATAATCGGTTTGATGCAAATGCAATGTTGTTTTCTTGAGGAATAACATGACTGATGTAATGTATGATTCTACAGTAAAAAAATAAAGGAGTGGTAACATAATTTTTCAAGTGCAGTATTCATAATAGCTTACTAATAAGCTTAATGAACACTGAAATTCCATTATTAAAAACTGAAAACCTTGGAATTATTTTGTTCTTATTCAGGAACTAGATCATCTAAGCTAAATAATGATGGATTTAATCTAAATAATTTGATGTAAAACAGAGAAAAGGAATAGAGTTGTAATTATAAAAGTTTATGAAATTGGAGAGGAGAGTGACAAACTTCAAAAAATATCATCTCAACTTTATAAATAATTCCATGAGAATTAAATTAACCATCTGTAAAACATTATTCAATATTGTTATTTGAAGAAATAACATGTCCAGGAAAAAAAATATTAATCTTGCTGAAAATAGAAATATTCCAGAATTCTGTATGGGCAGAACAGTCAACATTCAAATTTTAGGTGAAATAATACTTTCTCTGTTTTATTGAAATTGCTGGGTTTTATGATACATAGACGAAAATCCTCCTGAATACTATCTTTAATTATTAGTAGAAAAAGAGTATTTTGTCAGTGTTAATCACTGCTTGTTTTAAGGATAAGACAGATATAAGTTTGGAATGTGTCTATGTATGCAGGTGTGTACATGCATGTGTCAGTCTAGAGGTGTGTATATCTCTGTGTAAAATGGAAATTTTTTTAATATAGATCAATGTTTTATCCTGTTTCCAATTGTTTCAGGAAATGCTGTCTTGCAGTCTTGGACCTTGCAGTTGTTTTTGTAGATTATGTGAGAGATTCACAGTCACAAGTATTTCTTGGTCTTTAATACCATCTAAAAGTCAGAGAGAAATTAGCCTGAACTACTATAATTACTTAGGCATCTTCTTTCCAAAGTGCAGAAATTCACACAAAAAAGAGCACCTGGCTACTGCTGTTTCTAACAGCTGGAAGATGGAAATAGCACAGACTGCAGCACCGTTATTTATTCCTGTCAAATCCAGGCGCTGACCAGGTCCCATGGACTTGCAAACATTCACTTTGCTCAAATGTTCTCTTCCCCACCAAGGATAAGTCTTCCTTGCTCCAGACTTTCCTTCTGGTCTCAGGGACCTGGGATTATCAGTCAAGACTGAGGCAAAGAAGGTACCAAATGCCTCAGCCTTTTCCATGTCATCCATGCCTGTTCAGCAGCCGGACCACATTTTCCATAGTTGCCTTTTTGCTGCTGATGGACCTGCCTTGGCTTTCCTAACCCTATCCCTGTACACCCAAATAGTGTCTTAATATTTCTTCTCTTTTTTAATTAGACTTGGGTCCTGTTCAGTGTAATCTGCCTTTACTTGTTTCTAGATATCCTAATACAGAACATTTTGGCCAGACCTGTATTAGTGCAGAGGTTTGTGGTGTCACCATCTAGTAGGAACAGTTTGCTCTCCTGCACGTGCCCTGCTGCAGAGACGTCAGGGTGGTTATTTTGCTACTGAGCAGATGAGGGAAAAAATGAACTCCTGATTTTGACAACATACAGTTTACCCATTTCTCCCCGTAGGAAATTAGTATGACAATTACAGGCCTTTATGGAAGGGGAAGGTGATCTTTATTACAGAATCTCTTAAGTTATGTCAATTTTACCCGCTCCCACTCATTCTCTCATAGATTTCATTGACTCACACCTATGTAGAAAGCACCAGGATGTGTGTGTTCAAGTGGTCTGGCCAGGATCATTTGTGAGCAACACAGAGAATAAGGGACACCAGCTAGCAAGTCTTCATCATTTCTCTTAGGTTCTTCTTGCTGAAATAGTTTTTGGACAGATCTTTTACACCCTTTAGCAATCATCAGTTCTTACAGGGCAGTTCTTTGCCTCAGAACCTTATTTACTTCAGCCTCTGTAATCTTTAGGGAAGGTCACTATCTGGTTTTGCTTGTTTGGAATACATACATCTTTATGCCTACTGTCTGTTTCCTTGGTGGGCTTGTAGGAAAAGGAAAGGCGTATGTGATGTGCTGTAACCTTGCAGTCATCTTCCTGTTGTCAGATTTAGAGGATGTTCCACTCGCTAGCTGTCTCCGCTGTGTTTTTATATGAATGAAAGCCGCCTGGTCTTGATGTAAACAACACTTTCCTCAATTTTATTGCTGTGAACAAATGTTCTTCATTCAAATCACAGGCCATTCTTCTAAGACTCTTTCTTCTGGTGCTTATATGCACATTTCCATTCATATTTCATTTATACCAGTCCTAATATTCCTATTACAAGTGTCCACATCCTGCGTGTAATACCAACCAAGATGTCTACTTTAATTTACATGACACCACTACACCAGATTATATCAAACTTCATTATATTATCTTGTAGCAGTCTCCAAAGACATGACTACAGCAGTGCCGAATGAGCTATATAGATTAAGTTTGTGCAAGTGTGGGTGTAAATCCCCCCTCCCTTTCAGAGCCAGGAAATGACAAATGTATTATTCTGCATTACAACCCAATGGCCCGGGATGATTTGCAGTCATGATTCATAGTCATTGTAAGACATCACTTTTCACTTATTTATAACGTGATTGTTCCAGTTTTACATCACAAGAGCAAGAGCAGTCTTCGAGAAAGGAGGTGGCTTCAGAATGTTTTCTGTTCACTGTAAGGAGTCTCCTATGTTAACACCAGAAATGCACTTTAATTGTAAATAGAGGCCCTCCCTGCAGACAAATAAAGAGAAAGCTATTTGCAGGAAAACAGAAAATATAATTACTAGATTTTCTATACATGGAAAAAAAAGGAAATATTTTCAAAATCATATGACTGAAATTGTTCTTGTTAATGATGCAAAGTATCACTTATGTAAAAGCCAAACAATAGGATGAATCCTGCCCTTCGCCTGACTTTACACACATCTAAGGGTTTGTGTCTTTAATACTAAAAGATGGGAGTTATGCTTAGGAGAAGGCTGATGCCATCAGTCACCGAGACCTTTTGCATTAACTTTTCATTAGCCCAAGCTGACTGTCATGCCGATGGAGCTATCCTGTTGCTGGGGACACAGGCTAGTATCTCTCCACAGCCCTGTCCAATGCCAGATAGACATGTTGGATTGCTCTGTGCTATCTCTGAAATCTCTAACACAACACTGCATTACACCCTGTAGCTCTGCCCAAGGAAGACTACAGAATTTAATTTCTTTCACACTTCCCTCAAGAGAAGTAAAACTTACAGATATATTATTTCTTAATTTCTTTCCCTGTTTTGCCATGTTCAATTCCATACCACATGCAATTAGATGAAATTTGATATATCTAGTGGGAAGTCAAGGCCTAAATCAGTTGATTATAGTCTAGTTCTCAATTAACCCATGTAAAGCTAATAAGTCGTGATTATATAACTAGGCAAGGTGAATCATTTTTTGGCAACTTGAGCAATGAAGCCAAATAGTAAATGAACTCATAAGCCTGAATTGTACTTTCAGGGCTGCAGGTGACATGTTTTTAGCATTGTCAGTGGTTTCTTTTTTGTATCTGAATCTGAAAAGTGTTCAGTTTTGCTTTCCTCAGAAGTGTGGCCTACAAAAATATGGCCTCAGAAGTGATAGGAATAGTAGGAAGGAACAGTGGTACTGTCACCACCCAAGGCTCAGGGTGTCTGCTAGAGCAGAGCATCTGTGTGCCAACATGGAGAATTCAAGTAAAAATTACGGTAATTTATTCTTTATTGTTGAGTTAATGTTTGCATTTAAGAATAAAGGCTTTTAGGCCTGAATGCAGTCTCCTTTCCCTGATTTAACAGAAAGGCTGAAGTGGGGAGTATAGCTTAAGATAAAGATAGTTTAGATTCCCAATAGTCAGTGGAGACAAATAGACACATCTCTGTCTTCACTGATTGGGGAGGAAATGTGGGCTCTCAACTCGGTCACTTCTTTTATGTGTCTATAGTCAAGTGGAATGAATGCTGGCACAAGCTTTTTTAAAGTTAATATTAAGCAAAGCACAACTTTTGTACCTTCAGTCCTGTCCTTCAAGGTGTTTCCCTTACATGTAAAGTACTGATGTAAGTTAATTCTGCCACCTCCATGATCTAAAGGTAACATTGTCCAGAAAGACAACCTTCCCATTTCTTTCTTATTTGTGATTCTTCCATAAAAAGTAAAAGGTGTAATGTCAAATACCTGAAACATTTTGGAAAGTGGCAAGTTTGCTGTCAGTTGGAAGGATACTACTTTTTGCATTAGATATATGCAATGTTTATTTTACATTCATATGACAAATTAATCTTCTACTTTAAGCTGGAAAAGGTTCATTCTGAATAAGTCTCCAGCGTTCCCATTTAAACCAAACCATCATCATACCACGTTCTCTGCAAAATGCCATTACTTTTATTAAACATGAAGACCATTTCCTAATGCGTTTAATAATTCTTTTGTTACTAAGTGAAACCAGGTTGCACAAGCTAATATTACCTAGTTTTGATCACAGAAAAGATACCGTGCAATACTGAGATGAGATAGGAGCCCAAGTATTAGTCTAACTCAGTGATTCCTTTTGACATCACATCCATAGGAATACTTTCTAGTGGATTATGCTTTAGAATTTCAATGAGCAGCTGCTATTTTAAGGAGCTTTCTTGCCATAAAACATCATGGGGGATTACAGAATCCTGTAGCTGATTCAGATTATTAATTCAAATAAGATCTGTTTCATTACAGTTTTATGACGTGCATTGTTAAGGCTTTTACCCTTGCTGCTTGTATCCTAATAATATGGTTGAAGACCAGCATTGCGTAAGAAAATGTAATATGGTATCTTATTTCTGAGCCATCTGTCACACTGGTGCCTGGGACACTTGGTTATGAGCTGTCCTCCAGGAGCCCATGGGAAGTGATGGAGTGAAGTCCTTCCGTATCCTTACTGGGCAGACGGCAGCGTTACCGAAACCATCAGTGCTGACACTCATTCAATTGTCAAAGTACAGACACAAAAGACCGAATGGTCACATATGCTGCAGGCTTGGAGGTCAGGCCCCGCACGCTGGCTGGGCAGGGAGGGGAGCAGGTGTTGCTCTTACAGTGTAGTAGTACGGCTATTACAGACCTCCTTTCAGTTTCGAGGAGAACTCTTTTATCAGCTCTCTAAAACAGCCTCTCTCACAAGCATTTGAAGTTGGAAAAAGTTAATCATTAGATAGGTTGTCTGTGAGAGCTTGTTTGAGGATGTCGGAGAGTCACAGAAACACTCTTCTCTGATAGAATCATCCTGAGCAATCTCTTCTCTTTTCCCACTTGAGAAGTGCACTCTTGATAATCCTAAGCAGTAACAGCTGGTTTCATGAATGTAACATCTGTGTGTGGGTACAGCGATAGCCCTCAGTTAAGCTGCCCCTACTCGGGTGTTATCTTTGGGAGATAACTCGGACTCATTCCCTTCCTGCCACTAGCTCCTACAGGTATATAATTAACTTCTTGCCTATATCAGTGATACGTTTATTACTGTCTTGTCTTGTTCCTGCTACTCAGGTCATTGATTAAAATAAAAAGCAAAACTCCACCTGTCCACTGCTCCAGGGAAGACATGAATGAAGTTAATGAGATGAGGAGCCCTCATGGGGCTGTAGGAGAGATTCTTACTGCTTACACCCTTGTACAGGCATATAAACTGAGCCATAACCCATCCTTAGAGTGAAGAGTGTCCTGGGAAATTAGATCAATCTAGATACTGGAATGGTTTAGGTATATATTCTGTGTTCTCTTTCAAATGGATCAGCAAATGTATTTATTTGGGCCTGTATTTCCAGGACAGTGTTACTGATTTTATTAATTTTGCTGTTTCTCTCTGGCATAGAGATAAGAGGTATGAAGTCTAATAGTATGTGCTTTTCTGTTGTATATGGCAGTTAGCTCCTTTTCAAAACACCCAATATATTGCCTTCTTCACTCATTCAGACTCAAGTGAATGAAACATAAGGAGAGGTCTTTCAGGGTTAGAGGTCTTTGAACTCATTAATATTAGCCATCATTTATGTTTATGACACTCTTCTCACAGTGAATTCAGGATAGCAAAACTGTCATGTTAACACCATACATCAATACAACACTTTTATAAAGTCCTATCCTTTAGAAGAGGGATGATTTTTAAAGTAGGTCAAAAGGCTTAATTACTTATTTCATAGTATAGCCTGCACAGGACTGAAGGCAGCCCTGGCATATATGGGAGCACTGTGCAGTGGATAACTCCTATTGCGTTACAAAATGCGGGTGAAAATAACGGAGGGGTGGCAGTCCCTAGAGTATCCTTGTCCTGGTAAATCTACGGCTGTCCTCTGCCTTGCTGAAGGATTAAGGAAAGTCATTCTTGTATTCTGCAGCTATAATTTAAATTATTGTCAGGATAAAACCATCGCAACACACTGTGGACACAGCATTTGTTACCAGTTTTTTCCCAGTCTGGTAGGAATCCAAAGATATTCGCAGTCTTCAGGAGAAAAAAAAAAAAAAAAACACACCAAAAAATCCACCAGCTTTTCTACTGTTATTTAATCTTGCTGAATACCTTTCCCTAGTTCCTTAAAAAGTGTGAAAATGATGTAAAGGCCAACCTGAGACAATTTATTTAATTTTTAGAAAGTATGTACACCATTCTTTCATTATTAGAAAGTGTGTCCACCATTCTTTTCCACATAAGAACTTTTCCAAGTGTTTGAGGAGGGTGATCAAACAAGCGATCTGTAGTCACTTTTGTAAATCTTGGCCACTGTACATCACACAGATCTAAGCAACAAATTGGGAACGTAAATGTAGCTCCAAATGATTAAGAAATATTTTTTACACTGCAGACCAGGGAAGTAAATAGACACTGAGGTCTCCATCTGCAAACACTATACTTTATCTTCTTCAACTCTGTTTCTTTAATTCTTGCATATTGTTGGAAAGCATCTTACTTTAACAAATATGCCATAGGAAGCACTTACATATTCAAAGGCAAATTAAAATCTATAGCCTGACAGTGTGATACATCCCAACTGACATTTGTTCCTGCAAAACCTTGATGTCTTTAGCCCCAGGGCATACTTTTTCAACATAGTTTTAATTCGCTACAATTGACAGTTTGTGAATTATTTTCTGAAGTGGTTCTGTATACACAGACAAAACATGCCTTCTGTTGTTTGTTACAGAATGAATACCTATATGAAGGTGTTGATGCGAGAGTTATAGAGTATGAGGACAACAGGCCTCTCTTAGATATGTTCCTGCAGAAACCAATGGGTTTATTGTCCCTGCTGGATGAGGAAAGTCGATTCCCACAAGCAACAGATCAGACACTTGTAGGTAAGTGTATGGGGTTTTTCACAGTTTTGCAGGATGTCTCCCTGTTAGATTTCTGTTTGCTGTGTCCAGTTTAGGCTATATGCTAGTTATGTTTCTAGTGAACCCACATTCCAGTGTCACAATATATTTGAGGGAGGCATGAGTGCAGGGATGGATGTGTCTTTGAAGTTGATAGAGAAACATCAAGAGTACAAATGAACCTAAGCTGCTGATCCAGGTTTTGAACTGTCCTGCCTTCAGGAATTTTTAGCTGCAGGGCTTGAAAGATAAAGACCAAACTGAGTTAAAACTCTAGGTTCATATGCAAAGAACACTGTTTTCAAAGTCGAGTCATGTTCGGCTCTGAGATTTTTTTGATGAGCTGTGTCTGAACAAGAATTATAGTACTTTATAGGGGTAAGAGCTGCAAACCTGCCTCTGCCTTTCAGAAAATTATGCTTACTGGTTTTTTACATTCAGAAATTAAAATTAAAACACTTAAATATGTTGTAATTCAGATCCTGAATATTTCAGTGCTGCTGAGTAGTTGCAGTTACAGTTGATTTAGTTATTTCAGTGGGGTTTCTGTGCAGGTAAATCCTTGTTTTACTCATTTTTGAATGTGCAATGTGTCAGATGAAAGTTTTAACCAACACCCAATCACAAAACCTAATAACATCCGGTAATGATGCCCATGCTAAAGCAATTATATGAACTTGTTGTCTTTCTATCCTCATACTTTTTAGTCTACAGTACAGAGGCCCTCAATCAATTGGTAAATGTTTCCTCACAATTCCCCAAGGAATCCTTAGGAAGGATTACTACATTGTTTCATATATGAAGATCAAAAGCCTAGAAAGGCAAGCAGAAAAAAATTGGTACAAAGTAAGTAACTGATCCAGGAACTCCCATATTCTCTACCCAGTGCCTTTTGTTACAAGACCATTATGGTATCTTTGTCCTTAAAAACATGAGAGTCTGGGTTTTGCCTCTGTGTTGTCTGAGCAGTCAGGCCATATCCTTAGAGGGATGCAGCTTCAGAAGACAATTATTGTGCAGTGACTCCAGTAAGATAAGCTATGTGTTTCCTTTCAGAGAAATTTGAAGATAATTTGAAGTCAAAATATTTTTGGAGACCCAAAAGAGTAGATCTAACCTTTGGGATTTATCATTACGCAGGAAAGGTAAGAGACCTTAGTTGGGGATTATGGAATGGTAGGGCTGGAAGGAAACAGAAGAGGTCAGCTGGGTTGGTTCTCAGCCTTCATCTATTCAGGCCTGACATGGAAATGTTGGCAGTGCCTTACATATCAAAAGTAAATTGAAAAGTTATTTTGCCTCATAAAAAAAAAAGCAATAGCAGGAGTGTATTTTTCTTAAATGTCACCAGGTAAATGAACTGACTGTATTATAGAAAAACCAAAACATAACCATTATGTAATGCAAGCCAGTGCTCTTCCCCTCAGTGCCTTGAAGTCCTGTGCCATGCTTGTTCCTACTGCTTCAAATCAGGATCCAGCTCTATTCTTTCTACTACCTCCTACACCCCGTCAGCCTTTCTTGGTTCTGTACTGTGTCATCAGCCAGATAGATAGTGCAGGCCCTGCTTTCTGCTTCATTTCATGAGCAGCAGCATCTTGCCCTCCTGTACACAGTGACTTGCTGCACAAGCCTTTCAAACTCAGGAGGAGTTGCTGACACACTGCAGCAAGATGCTGCTGGTCACCTGAACCTTGCTTTGTGAAAGCAGGAGCTCACATCTCCTTTTGAGCTCTTTTAAAGGGTATGGAGTAGGCATTGCTGTCTCACGTAGGAAACTATGTTGGGTCTGTGCAGTGCTGGAGCAGCTGGCCTGGAAAGAGGCAACATACCACCCATCAGCTGATGGAAGATAACTTGCCCCTGGTGTAAGACAGCCAGCTACAAAAGGCCTGCAGTAACTCCTCTGACCCTCATCTCTAGCTGAATTACACTTCACCAGCAGCATAACATACCTCACTTCTGAGGAGCAGAGCACCAGCTCTCCCTGTACCATTCGTGATACCAGCCACTGAAGATGGGAATTCCACCAATGCCCCATCTGCCCTTTCCAGTGTTCAACAAGCTTTTTCATTAGGAAGTTCCTTCTACTGTCTAACTTATATCTCCATTGCTGTGATGTAAGTTCATTACTCCTAGTCCTGTTTACTGTGGAACTGGAGGACAATTTATTTCCTCTTTCTTTACAAACCTTTTTTGTAATTTAAGACTGTTACTGGGTTGCTTTGTGAGGGTTTTTTCTAAATTAAATATGCCAGTATCTTCTGTCCTTCTTCACAGGCCAGGTTTTCTTGTGGATCCTTTACAGCATCATTGAGATAGAGCCCTAGAGGTATATTTTTAGTTAGGTACACCATTCCCAGAATTTTTAGAGAGATCTTAATTGCAATATGCAGTTTATGATTTTGCAAACTTCCTCTACAATTAATACAGAGATCTCTAGGGAGAGTGGTAAGTCCTGGGTCCAGTACAGCATGATATCAATGGGACAGAAAGATTGTACAGTCATATGGGTAATCCTATGTGATATGGTTGAAATCAAGTGCATTGTTAATTGTGCATTTACGTAGGTACTGGTGTAAAGGAGGACTACAATACACTTGTCCTAGTGATAAATCCACACTGGCTGAAACTAATATTAACATATCTGCATTAGAGAAAATAAATGTCTCAAGCTACTTTGGAATGATGGATTTGCTTTTACTGATCTGCATCATAATGGTTCTCAGTATTGAAAAGTAAGAATTTTCAGTGATCAAAAGAAAGACTGTAAGCAAGAGCGGGCCTGATGGCTGAAAAACTGTGTATCTTGATATATTAAAAGCCACATGCCAGAGTGCTTAAATTTACAATTACTTTTCAAAAGCCCAGAAGATGCATAAATGCACTTTTTAAACAGGTTCTATATAATGCAAGCGGATTTCTAGCCAAAAACAGAGATACTTTGCCAGCTGATATTGTGCTGCTACTGCGATCATCTGAAAACAATCTGACACGACAGTTGGTAACCCATCCTCTTACAAAAACAGGTATTGCTATTGTGGTAATCTTCTTATTCTTCTCTAGCCTTCGTGATGACCACTGCTAGGTTTCATATGACCATTTGTTGATGACATTATACACTTTGTGGCTTAACTTTCCAACCCTAGAATCTATACAGAATGGAGCCCCAGCCATCTCAAGCTGCAGGGGAGGGATTGGTCTGGTCAAGTGCCAAGGAAGTGGTAGAGGCTTCTTTCAGGGTCCTCTCTTCAGGGTAGGGGAGCAAGACAGGGAGTGGAGTGCATCCCTTGAGTTGAGGACTGAACAGAAAGGATCAGGTAAGTCACTGTCCTTTTTTTGGACAGGGCGTATATAAATTGCCTGTTTTTTCTCAGTGCAATTTTTCTCTAAAGTAGTAGAGAACCAAGGTTGTGGCTCCTAACATCTGCTGCAAAGAGTGAGGAGACACGCCTCTATTTCCCCAGTTTTTCAGTCCTTTACAATAGGTAACTGACAGGATCCTAGTAGTGAGCCCTTCCTCAGGGACTTCATAAATTGGGTGAAGGAATATGACTGGCTCTACAGAAATGACTCCTAAGTTGCACCTTAGTTGAAGCAGGTCCTTGCACAGTGTCTTACCTCCCATTTTAGGATGATGGGTAAGTCTCCTTACAACCAGTTTGCTATTGTGTTGTATTACTCCCTGTGTGACGGCATTCATGCCATACAGTACTTCACATTACTTTCTTGTACAACTACATGGGAGATGTACTTGTGATAGAACAGAAAAGCTAAATTGAAGAGCCTAATGGAAATTTCTCTAAAATGTTATTGTAGCTTACAGAAACTGAGGTTTTGGCAAGGCTTCTGTTCTTCACAAAGGGAGCTTTGCTGGTGGAATGCAAAACTTGGTCTTGAAGGTCTATTTTGTCAGTGTTCCTGGGAAAACACAGAGCTCAATGTCCTTGCCTGAACTTTTTGACTTATTGATATCTGCTAAGATACTAAACTATAATTTCTGTAGAGCCAAAGTCAGGGCCCAGATGATCCCAAAGCTTAAGTAATGTTTTGCAAGATACTCTGAAGTTTGTTTTAGTCTTCTTATTAAATATTATGAAACACTGTGTGCACCCTATCAAAACTGACCCAAACCAGCCAGCTATAGCCAACTAAAAGTTAGTTTTCTGATCTATGTTATTCATCTAGAATCAGTGGAAATGTGGAGGTTTACCCAGAGTCCAACCCATCTTGCCTATCTCAGGTGTTTCTCAGGACGGGATAAATCTCCTCTGAAGGTGCCTCTCTCCACTGAATATAGTGGGGATCCTGTAGACACCTCACTTTCAGATAGCTAAAGTTAAGTGTGAGTAATCCTCTCTCTTTTCTTCCCACCCTGTGATAGTCAGCTAAGCCCAAGGGAGGTTTAGCACTTGATATCATCGCATAATACATGATGCATTAGCTCGGCATGCTATATATTTGCAGCTGTTTATCCAACTCTTATCCACCTCTTCCTGATAGTAGCTGAGCACAGAGAGATTGCAGGCTCTCCCAGTGGAAAGTGAGATTCCAGAGGGGTTATGTTATTAGCAGAAGCAATGGCAGCATGCAGCAATGGTTGGGGTTTATCAACATGGAGTGACATGATGGAAAGCTCAGCAGAATTTTCATTATTCCTTTAGAAGACCAGTGTCTATGTAAACCACTCCAATGCACCTAGTCCTTCAAGTCATCATAATAAAGGTATTACTTGATTAAGAATTCTAAGGTTAGAGTCTCAAGACTGTGTCTATGCTAGTAAACCAAACAGGGACAGTGAACAGCAGCTGAAACACTCCCACAGGATTGCCCATTCTGATTAATTTTTAGCATGCCCCCTGGGACAGTTTTCCACTATGTCAGCTAGCAGTCTCCCAGAAATTCCCAAGCACACTTCAAGAGAAAACACAGGCCAGCGATGGTTTCCAACAAGCTCTGTGGAAAGAGACAACCTTATTTTTACCAGGAGGTTAAAAGAGTAGTGAAGTATAGAGTTTAGCTGTATAGACTTGGGTCATGCCATGTCACTTGCCCTCAGGGCCAGAGAAGGGTGTTAGCACTTATTTTTTTTAACTAACTTATATGTAGCCTTAGGACTAGAATAGTACAATAACATCTTTAGGGTAAAACCACATGGATGCTCTAAGATGTATCTTTCTTACCTTCTGCAGCAGTCTGTTTATTTTTTCCCTCTAGTAGGTGACATAAGTGCTGAAGGGGGAAAATTCAGCGCGTGTTCCATCTTCATGCAACTTCTTCAGAGCTTGTTCCATCCCAGGGGTGAAAGGGGAAATGAGGACATGCTCCGAAAAAGTCAATGACCTTTATAATCATATGGTTGCACTGGGGGCATGAATAAGGTGGTTCAGCATAGTTTTTAGTTTAGATGAGATGTAAGCATTTTGATAGGTTGCTTTCTTTGTTTTTCCCATAGGTAACCTGGCACACACTAAAAGCAAAACTACAATCAGTTACCAAATGTGGACCCCTCAGAAATCAATCAGTCATACAAAGGTAAGAAAACTGATTTTGTGATTCTGCATTGAACCCTAATTTAAACTAGAAAGGTAATACTGTTATTGGTACTAAAAGTAAGCAAGTAACCCCTTCCTTGGTTTTTCTCCCTCTCCTATTTTCTTTTCTGTTTAGCTGGATATCTTTGTGTTGTGCAATTCATATTCCTTCCGTGAGGTAAAAATCTAACATTTCCCTTCTTTCTGTCTATATTTTTATAACAACTTCAAGGGAAAAAAAAATATTATTTCCTAGCTGTATTGTAGCAAAAAGAGAAATTAAAATATTGGTGTGGAGCATAGTCGAGTTCCTTAGAGTATACTACCAAAATAACAGTGATGATGAAATAACAGACAGGACCTCACACCTTGTCAGGTTATTTTTGGCAGTTATTTAGATGCTCCATTATCAAGTTGTGTCCTCTGTGTGTGAATGTTTGTGTATTGTGTAGCAAAGTAATGTAACGTACTGGTGTAACTGATTTGTGCTAGTGATCATGCTGTAACTTCTTCTGTTTAGAATAGGGTTTTTTTTAATTAATGATGTTCTCTGAGGGGCACTTTGTTGTGGCATAGGAAAGGGCACTACAGGCTCAACAGAGATAAAAAGTGTCATTTTCTTTCTTCATCTTTATAGAATGAAGCAGGAGATACCGGACATCATCCAAGAGAGACAACAAGCATGAAAACACAGACAGTTGCTTCTTATTTCAGAGTAAGATATCAGATCTTTTAATAAATTTTTCTAGAGTAGAATGAATGTTTATTCTTTCACCTTTTGAAATGCACCTGTTGACCTAGAGGCAACAGTGATCCATTTAGAGTTTGTGAACTGCATGTATGTTGCAGTGGTCTGTGCAGTACAAATACCTAGAGGAGACTGTGATGTTTCATCTCTAATTGCACTTTATTACATGGCCACATTTCTGTCATGACTATGTATGGTGTTTGATACTAATCTTTCACTTGCTTGTTTTTCCACCAAGGGAGATAAAGGGAGGTTGGACATTAGTGATACAGCATTTCTTTAAGAGTTTAAGAAGCAAGAGGGCAAAGTTAATTTGAAGCAGGAGCTCCACAGAAAGATCTTGATGGTCACTGCTCAGAAGGTGTCCTGAGTCCATCCTTGTGGCTCCTTCAGCAGTGCTCTTGACCTTCCCAAGCACTGGCTGTGCTGCTGGTCCTGCAATAGAAAATAGCTGTGATAGAGCATTCTTTCCTCCAAAGTGGTGCAGAGAGTTGATTCACTTGGGCTCAGCTCTGAATTTTCAACTCTTACTTAGTCATCTCCCAGCAAAAACATAAAGATGGCTGAGGTGATGTTCATGACCCATAAGAATTCATTTACATCTATGACAGAGAACAGTAAGGAGCAAGATCTCTGTTTAGTAGATACAATTGCACAGCTTTGTGGACTGCAAAGGATAATTTCAGCCTAGATATCATGGTGGTGCACAGCTGCATGGTGTTTTAAAGTTCTAGATGGAAAAATGTATTTTTTTTATCATTCAAACCTAGTGTCTGTGGTTCAGTGCATTACCAGCGCATCTAGCATCAGAGCCTGCAAATGAGTTAATTATATTTACACTTTTCTGTTATTATTTTCTGTAGTGGAAATCCCTGCTCAGATCATGCTAGCTAATGCTCTTAAATGAAGATTCAGCTTCAGCCCCACTGGTTTACTCATATGCAGAAATCTATGGGTGATTGAGAAAACCGTCTGCCACCTCAGACTGAGTGGGAAAAAAAATTATCCATTAGCGTGTCCTACTTGTTTGTGTTCGATTGGCATACTAGTGATGAAGCTAATTAAGCACTTTGCTGCATGGTGCGGCATCTGTCCAGAATGGAATTGCACATTTTAATAGGCAACATATGGCTCTTGACGTCCTACACTAGTTTCATGTATCCAACCTACTGCTGAACTGCATTACCTCTTGGCTACCAATTTGTGTTGAGACAGGTTGAATCTTGAGGAATGAGACTCTTCATTTGTGATTTAATAAGATCCTCCCATGAAGCAATTTTACAAAACACCAGTCGAGGTGGTTTACAGCCAGATTCACCTCAGTTGGCATGGGGAGCCACAAACTGCATCCCCTCTGCTAGTGTGCTACCCTGTGAGGTGGGAAGAGTGCAACTTTGGAATTGTGATTTTGTGTACTTCTAGTTTTGCCTTCCTCAAAAGTTTCTTCTTGGCAGGGCAACTATAGTATCACCATCAGCTTGTACAGTGAACAAGACATACTAGACCAGAGCAGTTTAAGCAGGCCCTCTTCTGGGGTGGTCTCAGTTTACTCCAGTCTAATGAAGGGATTGCAATATTTACTGGCTTGCTGCTCTTCCAGTTCCCATTCGCAGATGGATGATTTACTCTCTGGGTGAATAAGGATCTTCAAATAGGTGACAACAGGAAAAAGAAAAAGTAGGCTGTAATTACCTAACAAGGCTCCAAAAGAAGCAAATAAGTGTAAGGAGAGTGTCTACCATATGTTAGACATTATGGCAGTTTGTGAGTATGTTCTGGCTGGAATTTGGTACATCCATTTGGAATCAGTGTTTCTCTCAAGTCGGATACAGTAGTAACTTAGAGATCTTATCAAAGCTAGAATTGTTGTTGGGTTAATTAGTTCATCTCGTTAAAGTACCAGCTTACTGAAATGTGAACGGGTTTGGACATGATTCTGATCATATGAAATAAAATTTCAGCTACACATGGACCTATATACAGGTTTTATAAATATTCTGGTGGCAGATATCTTGTTACTTTCTTGCAGTATTCTCTGATGGATTTGTTATCCAAAATGGTCGTCGGACAGCCTCATTTTGTCAGGTGCATCAAGCCAAACAATGACCGGCAGGCAAACAAGTTTGATAAAGAAAAGGTGTTGGTTCAGCTGCGTTACACGGGAATTTTGGAGACAGCAAGGATTCGAAGACAGGGTTATTCACACCGTATACTGTTCGCTAACTTCATAAAACGGTAACATTGATGTCAAGAAGCCTTTTTCTCTCCTATCATTGCTGCCCAGTGTTTGCTAAGCATCAGCAGTGTCTTTGGTATGGCCTTTAAAGAAAAAATACAAAGACATTTCCTGTGACAAAGAAGATTACAGACTGGATGACAAAGAGTAGTTCAGGCACAAGATTAGTGACCTGTTTTGGATTGGTAGGGTAAGATGACGCATCTCAGGATGATTGTTATAGGCTCCCTGCACATCTGGGTAAAAATTGTCTTGCTTATAATCTTCAAGTTTTCTTCAAAGACTTGAGGTTTAGAAATGTAATGCTTCAAATTAAAGCCAAGAATTTGGAGCGATAACATCCAAGGAGCACCACAGTTTCTCTAGTTCCTGTCGTTCAGCACTGTGCAGCATCTGCTTGTGCAGGGTGGATGATAATTTGGTATTGCTAATCTAGGGCTGAGAAGTTTATAAATACATAATTTTGTTTAAAATATAATTTTATTATTATCAGTAATATTAT